AACACTTTCATACCCTTTTTAGAAATAATTATGAAAAAGCTAGCATTTTGTATGATCGTGGCAAACGGCTTACAAATTCGGTATACCGATAAAATTCCTGCTTCATGCATGGAGTCAGAGCGATTGTTCAGCATAACTGGACAGATTATCACGGGGCGATTTGTAAACAAATAGAAAATTTATTAAAATCGTTAATTTTTTTTTGTTAAGTAGACATTTATTTAATTTTTTTTACTGGTTAGTGATTTCACTGGTTTTGATATGCCCTGGATGTGAATATTAAGACTCTAGTTAATCAAAGTAGAACTTTTTGGTTTTTAGATATAAGATAAATATACGTATATGAATTCAAGGCAAAGTTTATGTTGTTTAGTTTTAGGATAAGACTTTTTGTGATGAACTGAAACACAAATATTATTTTTATGAATTGTTGCTTTATTCTCTGAATATTCGACAATTTTTGAATGTTGGAGCTATTTTCTATGGAGCCGTCGATACTATCGATATTGTAAACCATCGGACTAAAACAATATCGAATCTGTATTTTTCGACTTTGCACTTATCGATATTTTCTAAAAATCCATACCTACATAGCCAGCTTTCATGTGTGTATATTGTTAGGTGTAAAACAGCATCAAAAATGTTCGGCAGTTTGAAAGTTTTTAAAAGTGTATTCACGGTAGAGAAAGCACTTACTTATTTAAATAGTAGCACAAAAGTGATCAAAAGACAAAGTCATGTGTAAGTCTAAGTTAATGAATTAATTATCAATGTTAAAATTGTTTTCTTTCTCTGAAAATCTTACATAATTTCATTTATTATTTGAATACTCTAGCGTGTCATACCGTAGTGCACCTCCGCCTCATTCAAAGGCAACTAGAATTGGAGCAGTAGCCGTTGGGGGAGCCATGTGGTGGTGGGTTATTTGGCACCTTTGGCATGAGCCAGATCACATCACGGTTAGTATTAAGTGATGTTAATGAATCAAATATAGCTGTCACTTTATATTTGTTTATTCCAGGGAGAGTTCGACTACCCCGATGCTGCGAAATGGTCCAATTTCCACTTGGGAATCCCTCGTGATGAAAAATAATAAAATTTTGTCATATTAAATTCTTATAAACTACTCATTTACAGAGAAAAATACAAATTTGAATGACAAGTAGTCATGTAATTTATCTAATATTAACATGTATAGTAATGATATCTAAATGATACGCTCAACTAAATACTGAAAAAACTTTTTATACCTGAATCCAATTCCCATCCCATCTCCAATGGGAGACCAGATTATAATGGCTTTGTTACATGTACAGTGACGAACTAAATTATTGGCACAGCAAGCATTTTATAGTTTATAGAAATTTTTAAGGTATTTTTAAACGTTTTTTTTTTTTTTTTAACAAAAGCAAAAATGCCTAAATAGAATAGGATATGTATTATATTATACAACAAAAATATTGCAAAAAAATGCAACGTAGTTTAAAAAAAAATTAAATAACAAAAAAAAAACTATTTAGTTGAACAAAATTATTGGCACACCAAAAAAAAAAAATAAAAACAAGTAAGAAAGCTCTAGTCGAGACTGCTGACCCCTGAACCCTACAAGCAACTGATATTTCAATAATAATTAGCACACACATGCACACGCACACACACACACACACACACACGCATACAAACACGCGCACATATACAGGCGATTGCGATGCAGTATTGGCAATATTATGAGAACTTTTTTGTTGAATAATTTAATTTCTAGACGTACGAT